CATAGCAGATGGTAGGACAGACATAACAGATATAACAGACATACCAGACCTATTAGTAGCATTGACAGTAATAGGAAAGGGAGGAGTACAATTTTGAAGTAAGGGGAGATGGGGAGTCATATGATGAGAGGCACCAGAGTAAAAAATCCTGACAAACGAAGAAATACTTGAAGAAGACTCAAGCAAATCTAAATGAAGAGAGGAACAATAGAGGTAGAAGAGGATGGTTGGGAGACAGACAGTATATGCTGAAGCTGATTAATCCGAGCACTCAAGGAAGCTAAGTCAGGATCAGGAACCGGAGCAGATGCAATAGAACCAACAAAAGGCTGAAAATTACTTGGAGAAGACGGGCAAAATTGGGCCCGAGACTGCTGAGAAGATGAGCTAGACAGACATCTCTTCTTGGGACAATGATACTTCCAATGGCCCCTCTGATGGCAGAAGGCACACTCATCCAAAGCCAGAGATATCATGATAACCAGAAAACTGCGGGGTCACGTGTACTAAACTCAAAATAGGAAAAAAATAGTTAAACCAAGGGTCTAACCGTAATAACCAAAAAGGTTATGAACCAACCACAATCAGAATCAGAGCAAGACCCAAAAAACCAAGGTCACGAACAAAGTCAGAGGTCTCTAGACCATGCGACCCAAAGTCTAGAGAAGGAGAGTGAAATTGCAAAGCAGATGCCAAAAGGTCACAAAGAGACCAATGGAGATTGTAAACCACGTGAGCTGATGAACCTGATCAAAACTTCGAACCAGACATAACAAGAAGGATATCGCAAATCAAGAGAGAGAGAACTCTATTGATCTGTGATTCGAAAACTAGCTAGGGTTACGAACTTGGCTATGATACCATGTAAGATTTCTGAAAGCATTTCTATATTCAATTGTATTTTCTGAACAAAGAATACATCACTTATATAGAACACTAAATCCTAATCCTAATCCTAAACGAATACATCATTGATATAGAACACTAATCCTAAATAGGAAATAAGAATACACCTAAATCAATCCTAAATAGAAAACAATAGTCACATAAAATAGAATATACTAATATTATTCTCACAGTTTTACACTTTTAGTAGCATCCCATTGACAAATTAATTGTACTGGAAGGTTTGTTTGCTGTGAAGGTGTGAGACACTTCACATCAGGAATATAAGGCGTTTAAATTATTGTAGAAGCACAAAAGCAAAATGGAAAATGAAGAAGTAGGTGAAAGTGATGGCTGAAATTAGGGAGTGTGGGTTCTCTGTCTTATTGCTCTTGTTCACAACAATACCCTTTTGAAACATGCAATTCAACTCAACACTTCACCTCCCAACCCAAGGAACCTGAAACAAAAGTGAAAAGAAAGTGAGAGTAAGGCCACTTATTACCTTTCCCTGTAAGCGGGAGTCTTCTTCATTGAGTATGCCCATTTTAAGAAAGAAAGCATCGTCTACATGTGAACCAGTTGCTTGTTTGGTAGTCTTGGGGTGCTCTACCATATGTTTGATTTGTTCACATCATTAATGGCCTGAATTATGTTTTATTTGTCCATCAATTATATAATTTTTTGGTAAATTATCTAATCAGTTTTCTGCATTTTCGCATCTATAGTGGGATAAACTTCCAAGGTTAGCCATTGAACCATTTGTCTTATTGCTTTCACCATATGAGGAGCTTTGGTTTCGCCTGGGACACTCAAATTCGTTGGCATATGAGCCTTTTCTGAAGGTACGGGTTTCTATTTTTCTTGAATATGGCATCATGTGTGGTTCATCTTTCACACCAAGTAAATCTCTCTCCCTCCGTGGGTGGGTGGGTGGAAAGATTTACTATGTCCCCTTGCTGCTTGTCTGGGTGGAAAGATTGACTATGCTCAAGAGTTATATGACATACTGTTTTATTCTATATTGCAGACCACGAGCTGAAAAAGATTGTATTTCGAGTTCTTAAACATCGGTCAAGATGGAATTAGAGTGAATCTAGAAAGCTGCACACAAGTCACGTTCACTTCAATTTATCTTGAAAGATCAAGAATGTTCAGAGTCATAAAGTATTACTGTTTCATTGTTTTGGCAAGTTTCTGCATGTATGGCTTGAATGTACAGAAGTTGGAGTGATAAGGAGACACCACTTATATCTCCAAATTAATGCAGAAACTTGCCAGTTATTTTGTATCTTTTTATATATGGTTTTGGCTGGGGTCTTGGTTAGTTATTAGAACTTGAAATTCATCTTCTTTTTTCTTCTTTATTTATTTTTATTAAAGCATGTATTAAAGAAGAGAATAGATTTGTTTAGGCAGGAATTCAGGCTCATTTTCTGTCGTACTTAATTAATGAGTTTTCTTGTCATATTGATTATGAGACTTTGCAGGCTGATCCTGCTTACCTAAAAGAGTCCACAGTGGTCCTACCAGTTTAGATTAATGGGAAAACAAGGGGTACAATACAGGTCGAAGAAACATGTGCAGAGGATGACGCTTTCAAACTGGCTTCAATTGACCAAAAACTCTCCAAATATTTGGACGGTAGAAATGTCAGAAAAAGAATTTATGTTCCCGGTAAAATTTTGAATGTCATATTGGAGCCCCAAAACATCAAGGCAGGCATCCAGTAGTGTCCCCATGTATGAAGATTGAAAGTCTACACAACATAGACCAAGTCAATTTGCAGCAGAGAAATTTCTAAACCATAGAAAGTTGTGCTTTTGTCTGAAATGTTGATTGGCAGGTGCTAATTGTAAATTGCAATGAACATATTTTCCTTATAATAACCATAGACTAAAAAGTACGGTATATCTAGTAGAAGTCAGACTTATGAGTCATAAGATAAACCCAAGTGTAACGGGTGCAGCCATCAACAAAAGACACATAGTATGCAGAACCCCCTTTGGTGAGAACAAGAGAAGGGCCCTAAACATCAGTATGAACTAAAGAAAATAGTGTATCAGATATAGAAGTACTTTTATGAAAAGGTAAAGCTGTTATTTTGACAAGTTTACACCCTCCACATTCAGTGAGTTCACTAGGAGAAACTTTACTCAATATACCCGACCGAGCTAAAGACCGTAAGAAATCAGCAGACAAATGTTCTAATCTAGAATGCCATAAGTAAAAAGGACTAGACAGAGAATCTAACTGAAAAGAGGAAAAGGCAGTCTGAGAGGTTACCATAGGCAGATGTAAGCTCTCCACCACATAGAGGTCTCTGACTCTATGACCGGTCCCAATCTGCTGCTTAGACATCCGATCTTGTACAGAATAGATAGAAGAAGAAAAGATAACATCAAAACCAGAGGCATCAAGCTGACTGATAGATAATAAACTGACAGATAACTGAGGAACATAAAAGACAAATGGAATAGAGACAGCAGACATAGCAGATGGTAGGACAGACCCAACAGATATAACAGACATACTAGACCTATTAGCAGCATTGACAGTAATAGGAAAGGGAGGAGGAGTACAATTTTGAAGTAAGGGGAGATGGAGAGTCATATGATGAGAGGCACCAGAGTCAAAAATCCTGACAAACGAAGAAATACCTGAAGAAGACTCAAGCAAACCTAAATGAAGAGAGGAACAATAGAGGCAGAAGAGGATGGTTGGGAGACAGACAGTGTATGCTGAAGCTGATTAATCCGAGCACTCAAGGAAGCTAAGTCAGGATCAGGAACTGGAGCAGATGCAATAGAACCAGCAAAAGGCTGAAAATTACTCGGAGAAGACAGGCAAAACTGGGTCCGAGACTGCTGAGAAGATGAGCTAGACATACATCTCTTCTTGGGACAATGATACTTCCAATGGCCCCCCTGATGGCAGAAGGCAAACTCATCCAAAGCCAGAGATATCATGATAACCAGAAAACTACGGGGTCACGTGTAATAAACTCAAAATAGGAAAAAAATAGTTAAACCAAGGGTCTAACCGTAATAACCAAAAAGGTTATGAACCAACCACAATCAGAATCAGAGCAAGACCCAAAAACCCAAGGTCACGAACAGAGTCAGAAGTCTCCAGACCATGTGACCCAAAGTCTAGAGAGGGAGAGTAAAATTGCAAAGCAGATGCCGAAAGGTCACAAAGAGACCAATGGAGATTGTAAACCACGTGAGCTGATGAACCGGATCAAAACTTCGAACCAGACATAACAAGAAGGATATCGCAAATCAAGAGAGAGAGAACTCTATCGATTTGTGATTCGAAAACTAGCTAGGGTTACGAACTTGGCTATGATACCATGTAAGATTTTTGAAAGCTTTTCTATATTCAATTGTATTTTCTGAACAAAGAATACATCACTTATATAGAACACTAAATCCTAATCCTAATCCTAAACGAATACATCATTGATATAGAACACTAATCCTAAATAAGAAATAAGAATACACCTAAACCAATCCTAAATAGAAAACAATAGTCACATAAAATAGAATATACTAATATTATTCTCACAGTTTTACACTTTTAGTAGCATCCCATTGACAAATTAATTGTACTGGAAGGTTTGTTTGCTGTGAAGGTGTGAGACACTTCACATCAGGAATATGAGGCATTTAAATTATTGTAGAAGCACAAAAGCAAAATGGAAAATGAAGAAGTAGGTGAAAGTGATGGCTGAAATTAGGGAGTGTGGGTTCTCTGTCTTATTGCTCTTGTTCACAACAATACCCTTTTGAAACATGCAATTCAACTCAACACTTCACCTCCCAACCCAAGGAACCTGAAACAAAAGTGAAAAGAAAGTGAGAGTAAGGCCACTTATTACCTTTCCCTGTAAGCGGGAGTCTTCTTCATTGAGTATGCCCATTTTAAGAAAGAAAGCATCGTCTACATGTGAACCAGTTGCTTGTTTGGTAGTCTTGGGGTGCTCTACCATATGTTTGATTTGTTCACATCATTAATGACCTGAATTATGTTTTATTTGTCCATCAATTATATAATTTTTTGGTAAATTATCTAATCAGTTTTCTGCATTTTCGCATCTATAGTGGGATAAACTTAGCCATTGAACCATTTGTCTTATTGCTTTCACCATATGAGGAGCTTTGGTTTCGCCTGGGACACTCAAATTCGTTGGCATATGAGCCTTTTCTGAAGGTACGGGTTTCTATTTTTCTTGAATATGGCATCATGTGTGGTTCATCTTTCACACCAAGTAAATCTCTCTCCCTCCGTGGGTGGGTGGGTGGAAAGATTTACTATGTCCCCTTGCTGCTTGTCTGGGTGGAAAGATTGACTATGCTCAAGAGTTATATGACATACTGTTTTATTCTATATTGCAGACCACGAGCTGAAAAAGATTGTATTTCGAGTTCTTAAACATCGGTCAAGATGGAATTAGAGTGAATCTAGAAAGCTGCACACAAGTCACGTTCACTTCAATTTATCTTGAAAGATCAAGAATGTTCAGAGTCATAAAGTATTACTGTTTCATTGTTTTGGCAAGTTTCTGCATGTATGGCTTGAATGTACAGAAGTTGGAGTGATAAGGAGACACCACTTATATCTCCAAATTAATGCAGAAACTTGCCAGTTATTTTGTATCTTTTTATATATGGTTTTGGCTGGGGTCTTGGTTAGTTATTAGAACTTCAAATTCATCTTCTTTTTTCTTCTTTTTCTTATTTATTTATTTTTATTAAAGCATGTATTAAAGAAGAGAATAGATTTGTTTAGGCAGGAATTCAGACTCATTTTCTGTCGTACTTAATTAATGAGTTTTCTTGTCATATTGATTATGAGACTTTGCAGGCTGATCCTGCTTACCTAAAAGAGTCCACAGTGGTCCTACCAGTTTAGATTAATGGGAAAACGAGGGGTACAATATAGGTCGAAGAAACATGTACAGAGGACGACGCTTTCAAACTGGCTTCAATTGACCAAAAACTCTCCAAATATTTGGACGGTAGAAATGTCAGAAAAAGAATTTATGTTCCCGGTAAAATTTTGAATGTCATAGTGGAGCCCCATGTATGAAGATTGAAAGTCTACACAACATAGACCAGGTCAATTTGCGGCAGAGAAATTTCTAAACCATAGAAAGTTGTGCTTTTGTCTGAAATGTTGATTGGCAGGTGCTAATTGTAAATTGCAATGAACATATTTTCCTTGTATTCTGGTGCTAAACATTCTTTTGTACACTGACAGTCTGTTTGGATGGGGTGATTTGGTGAGAACTAATATGAAATGAGAGAAAAAATGGACTGTTATTTGTTTATGTTTTGCATTAAGAATGCTGATTGTGCAAATGATGCATGTGGTAAACCAAAGGAGAGTACCAATTTGAATGTCATTTTATCTTTAACCTATGTAGAAAGCTAACCCTTTTCACTCGATTGATAAGCTTTATATGGTTGTGAACATTCCATAATGAATGTGGTGTGGTATAGAGTATTGGTCTGATTTCAAATTGTTTGAGTTTTGTAATGGGTGTGTGATGTTTTGATAACTCGATTTAGTATTTAAAATTGAATATTGAATATATTTAGTAAAAATAAATTGAATTGTTTTGATAATTATAATTTGTATCACTTAAAATTTTAAGCACTCCCTAAAATATGTTTAAAGTTTTAAGTTACAGAATTTTTAATCTCTTATGATTATACCGCCTTTTATGTGCACAACAATCATTCTATCCATTCACCACACCATTATTTACTGCACAATATGACTATCTATGTATCATTAAAATTGATCTTAGTTACTAAGTGAAGCTTATTAAAAAGAAAAAAGTTGTCCAAATTAACAAATCAATTGGTTTATAATAATCAACTTTAGAATTTAAAATAAAAGAATTACTTCATAACATGATTAGCTCCACAAACAAAAAGGTTAATTTGTATAATATTAATTCATTATAAAATATGATTATATTTAAGGGAGTATTGCAATGGAATGGATTGTTAGTTCTGAAATAAATATTTTCTAAATTATTTAGCAAAAAATGATATGTATTTAGCTATTACTCTTATTTTTCTAAACAATAGATTAGTAGATATATTAGAATTCAATCTTACACTTCTAAAAGCTCATGTCATAAAAGTATTAGAGTTTTTCTGCTGTAAAATTATAGTTTGGTTATTTAAGTAACCATGGCTGACTCTTGTCTGACATTAATTCAATCAGGTTATGGTTCCTACTGCAAGATGAAATAATGTTACACTTATCATCTTATTATACCATCTTTAATATGCTATCTCATGTTAGTACATCATTTGACATAAATATGGATGAAGACTCATTACACCAATAATGGGTTAACAAATAAGGCAAGCACATTGATAGTGGTATAAAAAGATGACAAGTGTAACATTATTAAAATAAAATTACTCATTGAATAACACGACATCATAAACATATTCACATTTTAATTTATTCAAAATTTAAAAAACCCAATTTAGGAGTCCAAATTCAATGATGGAAACAAGCTTGAAGCTCAGTAATGTAATGAATATTAACTTCCAATATAAATTAACCATGATTTAGATAGTATTTAGTTCACTTAAAATTTGATATTCTTACCCTCTCTAGAATGACCATTCCTTGTATAAGTCCATTCTTGACAACAAAGGTCCTAAAATTGAACAAGACTACAAATAAGTTGACATAGGATTATTTTAGGAAGTTGATTAAAAGATTCAGTTCCAATTCGTAGCTCGAAAGAGCGTGGCTCGAGAGTGGCTCGACACCAAAACAAGTTAAAAGCTAAAAAGTAACTTTTTACTCACTTGCCAAAATAAGCCTTAGTGGTTTAAAATTGAGTCCAATTTTATTCAAAAAATGGGAGAATAATACACAAATTTCTAATGGATCAAATTACTGGAGTCCAAAACTTGACGTGGGATCAATGCACTTTTTTAATATAAAATTTACTGAATTAGACCAATCACAATCGGTATATTATTCACACTTCAAAAGTGTGAACACATTCAATTTTTTTTTTTCTTCTTTCAATCAGCATTTCAATGTACTTCCAATAGCATCATAACGAAATAAACAAATTACACTCCAAAAAAAAAAAGAGACAAAATGTCTACACATCTGAAATTACTTAGAAAATGAAAACCAAGATTCTACATACCTTATAATAAAGCATTAAAAACAGATTGTTCAACAAATTCACAAAAACAAATACTAGTATCAAATTAGTCATGCAGTGTCTTGAAACAAGAACCTTCCCGAACCATTCCCACAATGCAATGGTAGATGCTCTACCTTCAATGTCCTATCTAGAACCAGAAGTTACCCCCATTCCACCTGTGTTACTGCGAAGTGCGCATCAATACATCAAAAACCACACATAAAAGTAATAGCAGCAGCAGGTAACAACAAAGTAACCTCTGAAGCACATAATCAATATGAGCACAACATGGAAAACCATACAACAAAAATACATAAATGAACATCTAAATCTCACCATAAATTAATGCAATGTTATGATTGACAACGTCAACTATCTATTTGGCATAACATACTTCATGTAAGAATTTGACAAAATGGTTTAAGAATTTGGATAACACGGATTACAATGACATTATATGTTCACAAACATCATACAAAAAGTAATTTGGTTAGAGCATGAGAGATAGATTAAAAAGGTAAAAGGAAGAAAATTACCTAGTTATGGCAAGCTTAACTTGAACAATCAGCTTGTCAGGTTGTTCCAAATTTTCAAGTATCAAATTAATTTAATTGCAGTTCATGGGGTAAAAAAATGCCAAGGAAGAAGCTAAAGAGATGAACTTACAGCACCATGCCATCGAAGGAGTTGATAACAATTCCATCAGGGAGATAATATTCGGTAGACAATGGCTTCACACTCAAACCGAGTACTCCTCTCTTGATCCAGCAGAATACTCATAATCCTCCCATATCAGGCAAAACGTTTCATCATGTAAGTGAAAAAAGAGTAGTGGAAAACATGGATCATCTCTTAAAACCAACAAAACTTCTTTCAATGCCCAAAAATGGATACGGCCGCAAAAATATTTTCTCTCATTGAGATCATATGCATGAATGATCTCATCTCCAACCCAATAAAGGGTATGACTAGCCAATACTGGATCACAATATGGAAATATGAGCTCAAATTTTTCATCCACCACATCCCACGAATCTTGACAAACATAATAAGCATACAACCAGCGCTTATATAGTGATCCAACAATAATGATTTTTTCATTATGCACGGGTAACAGAAACAAATACACAGGGCGCATGGAAGGAAGGTTGTTTCAATGGCTTCCATTCATTATTGGAAGCATGAAATACTTCCGCCCACGCCTTTGAACTACAGTTGGTGCTAGAACCACCCCAGGGCTTAGTGCCTCCAAAGACAAATTTTCCTATCAATACCCACAGCTTTACCACAACTTCGGCGGCTAGGAGCTACCTCCATGCCTTTTTGAATCTCTGCAAGGGCCCAATACTTGACTTTGTGACTACCTCGTGTGGCCCCAAAGCAGTATACAACCGATCCCAATGTAGTCTAAAAACAACCAAATGCTGCCATATTAGGGGTCTCACACACCGGGGTGACCGGTGTGGAGAAAAACTCCTCCATCTCCTCTACTTTCCCTCCACTAATAAATATCTCAGCTATCTTCTTAACCAGATTGGCTCTTCTCTTGGCTTCTTTTTCCATTTTCTTTGTGACAGGGCCCAAGGATAGATGCTGCTTCATTGAAATTGATTATATACCAACTCGTTTTTTGTTCACCAGAAAGTTTGGTTGTGCTCACACAAAGATACACCAAGGATGATGGATTTGATCCTTCCATATTGAAACCTTCCATTTCTTTCGCTGCTTGCAGTGGTAAGGAAGGGACCCAAGTAAGTTCTATTGAAGCGGAAGAAAAAAAATTAATAAATAAATCTGGTTGGGAAGATTATTTTTGAAAACTTGGCTAAAAGTTAATTTTTCAATTTTTTGACTTTTTTGAGTCATTATTATTTTTTATTTTTCTATATATATTTTTCAAAAAAGAAAAAAAACAAAAACAAAAACTTTTAACCTATTTCTCAAAATAAGCCGTTATCAGTGTTAAATTTTTATTATTTTTTTTATAATTTCCCATAATAATTATCAACAAAACAGCAAAACAAAATCAAATGGGAAGAGGAGGTCTGAGGGAGTACCTGAGATGAGAGGAGACGAGTTGCTCTGCCACTTAGAACAACTCCCCCTTCTATACTTTTCACCGTGGCAGCAAACACAATTGTAGAGCAATTGTGACATCTTTTTGGAATACAATCACTGATTTGGTATTTATGGGATTGTTTTGCTAACTATTAGTTAAAAAATTATTGTCAAAAAATTAATTTTTCTTTTTACTTTTTGTATATTTTTTTTATAAAAATTTAAAAAATTAATTAAAATAATAGTTAATTCTTTACTTATTTATATCTATCTATCTATCTATACTATATATATCAGCAAATGTAATGCATTCTTAAAATTCTTCAAAACCTCAATACTAATATCTCAAAGTTCTCTCCTACGTGGCAGTTTTTGAAGTCTCCCTACCTCATTTCCCTAATTTCTAATTTTTTAATATAATAAAAATTAAAAAAATTGAAATAATGAAATTTAGATATAAATAAGAATATGATTTGTTAATCTATATCTACCAAAAGTAAGGGTGGAGCGGGTCGGTTGCGGCCACAGAACTTCCAATCTGTTATCCGTTTGCCAGATTGGCAGATTAGAAAAAATCAATTCGCATCCATTTGCCAATCTGGCGGACGTGGATTGAGCGGATTCATATCTCCTTTCAAATTCTTAATCTTCTGCTCATAATTTTTATTATTCGTTATTATTGATTTAGTGATAAAGATAAAATATATATATATATATATTTTCTAATCAATACTTATCCCTTTTGTTTGATTTTTTTTCTCCTCTATCTTTAACTTCCCATAGTTTAATTCCTTAAGATGAAGCACAAAACGCACAAGCACACCTTGAATGTCCATATTTTCAAATGATTTCGGATTTTATTCATATGTGCCTTTATGTTCAAATCATTTTATGTTTTGAATAAATTGTACTTAGATTTGGTTAGATTATCTCTATTTTAGTTGGTGATTGCATACTTTTGGGTGCAAAGCAATTATATTATTAGAATGTAATTCCATATTGTTTGAAAATTATTTAAGAATTTGTTATGAATTAATACAGGAAGACTATGTTGGCTCAGAATAAGAAAAGTATTAATAATAGGATGAGGAAGGCTACATGAGAGGATGCAGTACAAAAATCTTTCAAAATAAATTTTCGTCACTATATTTATTCAATGTAATAATTTGATGTTATTTCTTTTAACTATTGAAATAGTTTGCATTGGATCATTGCTCTGTGTGCGTGTGTGTTTTTCTTTCTTTTTTTGGTTATAGTATTTCTTCAATCCCATCTCTCAATTTAGTATCTTTTTGAAAATTTTGTTTATCTAATAATGAAGTTTAGAATTAATTTCTTAACAAATTTGTTTTCTTATTTTATTGAAGGATCCATACAAGTAACACTTCCATACGGCATATGAAATTAATGAATAGAACACAGAGATGGTAGGGAGGTACTACATATTTGTCGATCTCTCTTTATTATTAGAATAATGTTTGAGCTCTAATGCAGCTCTAATGATGTGGAGAGTGCCCATGTGAAGGTGAGGCCCACGCTCCTCTCTCTATCTCTCTCTACTCTCTCTCTCTCTCTCTCTCTCCCTTCCACCTCATTAGAGCTCCAATTAGAGCTCTAGTATTAGAGCTATGTATCATAACTATTATTATTATTAGTTGATTTTCTAGATCATACTATCAATTTAGAGCTCATATGTTTTAATTTAATGTCAATGACTTTAGTTGCATTCGACCATTGTTTTGTTGAGTAGCCTATATAATTTATTTGTTAGTATATAATGATTAAAGCTATCATTTATTATATTTCTTCAAATACAATTCAAATAGTTTGTCATCATTTTTTTATAAATAAAATGGATTAAAACTATAATTTTTATAATCCTACTAAGTTCTTATTTTGATTTTTTTTTTCTTAAATATTGTAGGAACTATGCAAGTATTAATGAAGAAAATGATTATGGAGAATGAATTATACTCATATGATATGCATGTGTCATTGATAGAAGAGATCAAAGACAAAGGGTTGCTAACAGGATCAATTGACGATTTATTCATTTGTTTGAGAAGTTTTTTCTATGAGCACCAGGGTAACAAACTCATATTAAAAAAATTCAAAAACCTACTTAGAAATTACAATTAAAGGTTGAGATTTATTCATAATTTGGTCCCACAATAATAAGGTTAAATACACACCCTTGATTTAAAAGTCTTAAGTAAATTAATGATCACTTTTTTGAGTTTATAGAGTTTATATATACATATATATATATATATATATATTTTTCCCGGCATGACGCTATAGTTTGATACAAATTATTTATGCTATCAAGTGATTGTGATAATATTACCCCCAATAATCTTCATAATTAACAAATTTTTATGCATATCAAATTTCATTGTGAAATTTTATGAGTTAATTATTGTTAACATCTACCATGATGGCCTAACATCTTGGCTTGCCGAGACATAATTCAAGATTAAAATAATTTATTTATCACACAAAATGTATATTGTCTTTTTTTCGTGTGTCGCACAGGTTACTGCTAGTATTATATAAAGAAAATGGAGTTTCTAAACTATAAGAGCTCTAAGAGCTTCAAACTCTCAACCCAATTATCTTGCTTTTGATTTTTTTTTTAAAGAAAAAAACATCAATTGACTACTAAAAATTGAAATTTAAAATTTAAAATTTAAATCATAGTAAATAAATCACTTAATGAATATTCACCTATGATTTAAGAATTCAAATTTCAAAATTTGCAAACTATTTAAGAAATCAAAGCCAAGTGATAGATACAAAAACATAAATACAATGAAAAATACACACATACACACACACACACACACACAAATGTACATATACATGAAAAATTGATGGATTGAAGAATGAGAAGAGAAAGGAACCTACACAAATGTACACAAAAATTTATTCTGCCTTCAATTTATTGTATGTGCCACTAGAAATCTGTCTTTGTGCAAAAACACCATTGCTAAATCTCCTTCCTTGAATAGTTTAGAGCGCCAATGGTTGTCTGCGGCTGCCTTATATTTAGCATTTGTTTCCTCCCGGTTTTGTCGTACTTCTTAGATTGCTTGGCCTTGTTTGACCATGGATTTGGTGGCAGTACTCACTCCTGGACCCTGAGGCAAACGGAGCAAATCAACTGCATGTTTTGGAGGCGTGACATACACCAGAGCGAATGGTGACTTTCCTGTGGCACTGTGAATTGCGCTATTATATGCAAATTCTGCTTGAGGCAAAACAAGATCCCACTGCTTTGGCTTGTCTCCACAAATGTTGCGAACCAAATTGCCCAAAGTCCTATTACTCACCTATGTTTGATCATCTGTTTGAGGATGCGAGGTTGAACTACGATTCAAGGTTGTGTTAAATTTCTTCCACAAAGTCACCTAGAAGTTGCTAAGGAACTTGACATCACGATCTGAGGTAATGGACTCAATGCAAACGAACTACTTCTCGAAAGAATAATCGAGCTACATGAGAGGCGTCAGAAGTCTTTCGACAAGGAAGAAAATGCGCGATCTTTGAAAACCTGTCAACCACTATGAACATAGAATCAACTCCATCGACAAGTCTTCCCAAATGTTGTTAGCAACAGGTAGAGGCATATATAGAGGCCAGTATTCTGAGAGTGCCCTTTGGATACCTGACAAATGTAGCACTGCCTCACAAAATTGCCAATATCTTGCTTCAACTAAGGTTAGAAATATCGTTCTTCCATACTTGTAATAGTCTTGTCCCTGCCCAAATGTCCACTTAAGCCACTACCAAAGAGGTACGAGGAATGCACAAGCGATTTCCTCGATATAGATAGGCATCAGTGATGTGGAAATCAGTGACTGGTTGCCTTTGAATACACTTTGCCCATATCTCCTTGAAGTCATCATCATCTGGATAAAGGTCTTTCAGGAACTCAAAACCCACAATCTCATGTGTCAACGTGACTAATAAACTAGCCCGTCGACTCAAGGCATCCGTGACTCAATTTAGAACCCCTAATTTGTCGCGAATAGTAAAAGGAAATTTTTTATGGAAAGTAGACCATCTTACATGCATGTCATCCAGGTGCTTCTGGCTGTTGATAAACTTTAAGGCTTGATGATCAGTATACAACAAAAACTCTCTTTGTATCAGGTAATGTGTATCAGGTAATGTTCCCAATGATTCAAAGCTCGAACCACTGCATAAAATTCTTGGTCATAAGTGCTCCACTTTTGCTGAGCTTCACTTAATTTTTCGCTAAAAAAGGCCATTGGTTTATGTTCTTGAGATAGGATGGCCCCAATGCCCACACCACTAGCATCACACTCTACCAAGATCTTCTCAAAACTGGGCAAAGCCAGCACTAGTGCAGTGCACAACAAGAAGCTCTTTTCCGCATCATCACCCCACAGGAATTTTCCTTTTTTCATGCACTCTGTGATTGGTGCCACAATAGTGCTGAAACTTCGAATGAAACGCGTATCAAACGTAGCCAACCCATGGAACATCACTAACAGTCTTGAACCACATGAATGCCATCTGAACTAACCACATAACCCAGGAACTTGTGAGGAAACTACACTCCTAAAGTTAACTTACAACTTGCTTACCTCTAGCGCTGTCAACACCTTCCGTAAATGGGCCATGTGGTCCTCTGATTTACTGTAGATTAAGATGTCATCAAAACAAACGACGACAAATTTCCTAGTGAAAGGTCGTAATAAAGGTGCTGGGAGCATTGGAAAGGCCGAATGGCATGACCATACAAACCATCCTTAGGCTTGAACGGTGTTTTCCATTCATCCCCAGGATGGATTCGAATTTGATGGTTTGAAAACCACTTTGATCCTTCCATCTTTCCTTGGCGTTAATAATGCCAGAACAACACATGGACTTAGGCTTTCACAAATAAGTCCCTTTCGCAGTAATTGTTCGACTTTCTCTCGCAGGATCTCACTCTCTTTTAGACTTATTTTGTAGTGTGGTAGGTTTGGTAGACTTGCTCTTGGTATGAAATCAATTTGATACTGAACGTCCCTCATGGGTCGAAGTTCATTCGGTAACTCATCAGCAGTAAGCCCTTGGAATTCCTCCAATAATGGTTGAATTTTCTGAGGGATGGGTGTGATTGTTCTTTTTGGCCTCAGGTACCATTGATTTCACAACCATAGCAATTTTATGAGACCCCCAATTAAACACATAACTGATGCTAGTCATGTACCTATTTCTATTGGCAAACATTATAACTGATACATGATAGCAGGTCCTTTTTTGA